CTCCTCCAGAGCCAACTCTGGAGAAACAGTAAAAGCAAGCAGGAAACTTGGATGAGTGGGACGAGAAAACCCCAGGAAAAGTGGTGTTGGAAGGAAGTGGGTGGCTTCAGTTTGAGGCAGAAGATAGAAAGAGGAAGCAGTCAGAAAACAGGTTGGAGGGAAGGTTTTTAAATTTTGCTCTTGCTTCTCTCCAGGGAATAGGCTCAGGACAGCCCTTCCCTGCAAATTCACTGCCAAAATCAACAGCAGCGGCAGCAGCTCAGACTGTCTGTGCAGGTGTCCCAAGGATAATACCAAGTCAGCACTTCTGCCCTTTTGGTGTTAGAAAGTGAGAAAAATATGTGGAAAGACCCTCAAACATTCACTCTGCTTCCCCTGTCCTCCAAACCCTCAGGGCTGGTGGATCACAACCTCAGGAGAGGGTCCCTTCCTGGTGCTGCTTTTCCCTAGGGGTTTAAGATGAAACTCTGAATAGAGGCAGGCAGCAAACAGAATCAAGAGTGATTCTTTAGTCCGTGAGGCTCAACTCCTCCCCACTCTTAAATTCACAGGACTTACACAGATTGGAGCAGGACGTTCAGCCTTCCCCAAGAGACATTATCAGGGGAGCTGCCAAATCAACTAGTATCAAATCAACTAGCATAACTACTGTAAAAGACAACATATGGGACAACATATGGGATGTCAAGCAGAATTATTGAAAAGGTCAACTTTTCAATAATTTTAAATAAGCATAGAAAATATACATAAGGAGATATGGGGAAATACTAGCAATATAAAAAAAGAACAAAAAAGGAAAACCCAAATAAAAATAATAGATATTAAAAATATAATAGCTGACATAAAGAACATGATATAAGGTGATCAAACCTAAGATAGATACAGCTGATGAATAATCACTGAGCTGGAAGAGGCAGTTGAAGAACTCTCCCAGAGACGTACAGAAAAGACAGACACAGAAAACATAAAACAGAAAGCTAAGAGATGCGGAGAATGGAAGTAGAAGTGCCAACTTCTAAATAACAGGATTCCCAGAAGGAAACAAAAAATAAAATGGGGAGGAGGAAATATATGAAGAAATAATGGACACAAATTCCCAGAACTAAAAAAATGAAGAAAAAGCATAGATTGAAAGGGCAATCATAACAACACAGAATTAAAATCTGTACAGTAGCAACATGATCTGGCCAGGGTAGAGGAAGAGACAAAAAGGATCTCAGAGCACACTAAAATACAAGTCTTGGCAAGTGAACAGATATGATTAGTTGGAGGGGAGGGAAGAGAGGGCTAAAAAATAAAAATTAATAAAAAATAAAAATTAAAAATAATAAAATAAAATACATGTTTTCAGCAGAAAAGGAGGAATTGGTAAAAAGACACGAAAATCAACTACATTGTGCATTGATAAATTTAAAAATTAATTAATTGGTTGTCTTTTTAGAGGAAGATACAAATATTGATAACCTTAAGAAATAAATAAGGATTTATAAATACGGGTACGGTTCTTGAGTTAAGGGCATCTAACACAGTAACAGAAATAGAATGCCTAAACTAGCAAAACAAAATATGATCTAGCCCGCAGAAAGTAAAAAAAAAACAAAAAGAGAGTAGTCTAAATTTTAAAATATGAAATAAAATAGCAGTTAAATAAAATAAATAAAATGGGTTACA